ATATGACATCCCGGTTCCATCTGGATAAAACGGCGGGGTGCCGGTGACTCCTGCCTTTCTCCCTCCCGCATGCGCACCTGAAGTTTATCATTAAGACAGCTACTGTCGACAGCAAGACTGATGTGTATTTGTTGATCACGTCTTTCAATAGTTCACTTTGTGTAATCTCGAGGGGTAACTTGTGTGTACTTTCACTTACATTCTTTTTTACGCGCCACTTCATGTTTCCTCCGACTCTGCCTGTTATTGGTAACACCCGTTGGTGATTATTTTTCCATAAGTATAACCGGTCTTCTGTCCAGGTACTGGACCATAGAGCGTCTTCTGACAGATGATGCGTGGTAACCTTGGACGTTACGTATAGAAACAAAAAAAGGACGTCTGTCACCCTGTTACATGCGAATATCGTCATGACGTCTGAAAGCTGTATTGTTGTTCCGAATATAAATGTGCCTTACATACCTCAAAATGAGCCACATAAGCCTCAAATTGCGTCATAGAAAGCGATACGACATCTAGCAAATGCTCAGATACTGGCGTTGGGTGCGGACTTGTCCCAAGCGCGCTGTAACCACCGAGACGGCGCGTCCTCGGTGTACCTGAGCCGACTGGAATGGACGGCTCCATTTCGGAGTGGATGTACAAGAATGTTAACATCTGGGCCACTGGCCCTTCCCTCACCTGAGCGGCAACGAAGCGGCAACAGTGTTGCTGCTGCCAGGCTGACTGGAGGCTGCACCTCCGAGCCACATGTTAGTGCGTTGTTGCAGGTACGGTGGCACGGAAGGAGCCAGCTTTTGTCTTCTGGGCACGGCGCTTCGGCAGCTGCAGCATGAGGCGTGCTTTGATGTAATTCACGTACGCCAAGCTCTATACCATCAGAGACGTCCAGGCATCTGGAAAAGCATGGTGCGACTCAGTCTCGACGTCATTTCGCCTTACCAGCCTCCTCACGCCCCCCCCCCCCCCCTGTTCACCTCACTCGCTAACGTCGGTTTGAAAACCATCCATCTCTGTTTGTTTCTCCGACAGCTCTCCATCGAATTGGTCGGTGAGTGACGCTTCTGACACAGCCCCTCTCACATCCTTTCCGGGCACTGCCCACACCCACGTGCCCATCGGCTCTTCGTGACCTTGTTGTAGTCATCGGCAGAGTTCACCCCCGCCCCGCTTCGACTATAGCATCACCATAATGTCTGCTGGCCGCTGCAGCGATGATGCGCCGGGTACGTTGTATGACGTCATTTGAAACCATGTGGCCTTCACTTGTATCCTTTGTATCCTTGTCTGATCATAAAATCCTGCGTCCATAACGATGTACTGCAGCACACGCCTTTTTGGGCATTGAGGTGTGCCTCCTTATTTCCCACAGATGTCATTAAACGCCTGTCTTATGGCCGGAAGACAGTCAGCTTGGTGTTTATTACTGTCTTCGTTACTGTGCCTGGCGAAATACCGTGATTGATGCTGCACTAGTATCCACGGCAGTCACATGCGCCGCAGAGCAATCAAAAGATGCGCAAACATGATTCGAGTACGGGGCAGCCTGAGCTGCCGGCCGTGTCACACGTGGCCGGCCATGGCCGTGTCACCTGCGGAACGCACCCGCTCTCCCGCAGTGCCACCCGTTCAGACCGGGACCGGTTTTGACGCCCGCACCGCACCTGTGATGGCACGACACCACTTTCAGAGGGAATATCTTTACCTGTACCACGCGGTGTCAGCGTGGCTGGCGACGCGCGGAAACGGCGTCCTGTACCGAGGAGCCTCCTGCACCAGCCTCTGCGAGAGCCGCACCCCGACAGAAGCGACTCGGGACGCAGCTCACGGCGTCATGGTGTGACGCTCGCCAAAGTGACAATGTGATGTTCGGCGGGGTGAGTGTGTGACGCTCGGAAGGGTGATGGTGTGTCGCTGGAGAGGTGGTCACGAGGTGATGGTGTGACGCTGGAGAGGTGATCGGCGAGGTGATGGTGTGACGCTGGAGAAGTGATCAGCGGGGTGATGGTGTGACGCTGGTTGAGATGATTGTGTGATGCTAGGTGGATGATTGTGTTATGCTGGGTGGGTGATGGTGTAGTTTCGGGTGAAATGGGTGTGACGCTTGACTGGATGATGACGTCAAGGTGGGAGGGATGAGAGTTGGCTGCTGCTGGGAGGGTCATGTGCGACAACGGAAGGGGATATTGTGATACCGGTCGGGGTGATAGTGTGATGCTGGTCGGGGTGATAGTGTGATGCTGGTCGGGGTGATGGTGTAACGCTGCGTGGGGTGGTGGTGTGACTGGGTGTGCTAGGAGTGTGCTGCTAGGCGGAGTGAGGGTGTGATGTTGGGTGGGGTGGTGGTGTGACCCTGAACAAGATGGGGTAGATGAGAAGGAGCGGAATAGAACTCCATGGGTGAACTCTGGATGAAAATCCGTGGTACCGTAAACGGAGTGCGATGCATGCAAGTTTTAAAGTGCGGTCATCACATTTTGTAAAACAGTTATCTAAATTTATGTTTTGTATGAAGTAACAGAGGTTTTGAAATGGTCTTTGGCGTTAAGCCCTGCGCACGTGACTCGCTGTGTAATGTAATCGTGCATTGACTTTAATTTGTTTTGAGGACAGTGACCGAGAATCTTTTCGTGCTAACTTTCGACGCCGAAGTGATCTCATCACTGGAGCGGTGTTGACATCATGCGGACCAACATTCACGTGCTCCTCGTGTTGTCAGCGCCTGTTTGTGCTATCATTTCACAACCAACGTTTGCTCCGCTCCGTGTTTTATTTTGGCATCATATCGGGCATATCGAACTGATGAATGTTGTGCGCATCAGACGTTTTAATGAAGGCAGCTTTGGTGTTTTTCAAAACTGCCTCGGAAGCTTTTGTTGGCTTTGCTGTAACCCCATCTCACAAACAGAACTAGTGACAGAAGGAACGCGCCAAATGGCTGCCGTGGAGAAAACAAGAGCTTAGGGGTGGACTTGGCTGAATATCCTGTCAGCCCTAATAAATTAGACTGTTTGCAGTGCGAGCTACGATTCCTCCTTGTTGTTAGCGTGTCTGCTTCAGACCTTAGCGCCAGGCCTATGTGCCCGTTGGTATCTTTACCCCCAAACATACAGGTCCTGCTTTTGTGCCAAATAAAGTTGGAAAAAGCGCGTATGATGATGGGATACCTTGTGTCGGGGCGTCCCACAGAATCAACACTAGCTGAGCACAGAAAAACACGACTTGAACGATGCCTCCAATTCGCTAACCAGCGGAGGATACTCCCACTCCATTCCAGTTCTGATGCACGTTCGCATTGGTAGACAACCAGCAAACCATTTGGCTGTTGCCAACGATGATGTACCATAGTGCGCACTGGCTTCAAAGAGGAACTGAATCTAGACATGTCCCGAATTCGTTTTTCTTAGTCTTAAATATTTTGGTCACTTCAAAGCCAGACACAACAACTCCCAGTACCTTACTCAAATTCCCTGTTATTCTTTACAGCTGAAGTCCTTGAAGAACGTCTTGCGATCAAAGGCAGGCTCTGCGGAGAGCTGTTTCACATCCCCGCCCGCCACCCTTCGC